TTTCTTGATGTGTGATCGCCCCACTTAGCCAAATCTTCAAGTCCAATAAAATGTCATCGACGTTTATAATATCGAAATTGCTAAACTTTGCGAACGATCTCTGGAGATCGTTTATGGCGCGGTTTGCGAGGTCTTGGCAAACTTGGAGAGCCGATTTTGCCATTGGGTCCGTCTCGAGGTGTTGAAGCGTGGACGAATTCTCGGCGGCTTGATTGATGTAGTTGACGGCGGCTTGAAAGGCGACCTCGATTAGATCTTTAGGGTTGGTGCTGTTGTGTCCGGCTAAGCTGTTCATGCATGTTTGTTGGTAGTCGGTGGTTTCGCATATGCTCGATATTGCCTTTTGGGAGGAAGATACGTCGGGCACGGTATCTTCTTCTTCGTTTTCGGTGCCGCCAATCACGAGAGCTACAACCATAGCAACAAGGATCAACGAACATACCGAAACGATGGCGATCTTTTTTTTCTTGCGTTGGTCCATATTTTTATTATGTTTGTTTTTTAATCAAATTAGTTGAATGAGGTGGAGATGGGCCGGAAGAGATGACTGACCCTCTCTCCTTGAAAGATATGAATAAGAAGAAGCAATGATGATGATATTTGCATCAACCGCTCTTCTAAATTGCAAGAAAATGTGAATTGTTTTTTGACTAAATTATGACAGGCAGTTATTTCTGGTATGGAATATGAGGCATTGAGGTGAATAAGGAAGTCCAAACGCTTCTTTTTCTTCTACGCAGTTGAAGGAATTCATTTGGACCCCAAAATATGATGGATTTCTACTTTTTTTTTTTTTTTTTTTTTTTTTTATAAAAATATTTTAATAATCATTTAAAAAAATTAAATATAGTGAATTCTTTTGCAGTGTAAATATAAAGATTTATAATTAATCTTATGGGTAAATATCGAGTGTATATTTTACATTCAATATATACCTTCTTACGAGGATTTTTGTATAATTTTATTGATTTTATGGTGCTTAATTCTTGGTTTCTTGTGTTTTGGGTACAATTTGAACGTTCGGGAGTTTTAAGGATGAAACGAGCGAAAAAAATGTCAAAAACGGGCAAAAACGGAAGAAAACAATTGGAAGCTGAAAATTGGTCGGGCACGGCCGCGTGAAAATAAGCCTATTTTTGGCACGACCGTGCCAACTGTAGAATTTGGGCAAAAAGTTTCGGGACTTGAGACGGCCGTGTGAGAATTGTACTGATTCTCGCGGGGCCGTGTGAAAACACGTTAGAAGCAATTTTGGACTTTTAATCACACAAGGAAACATAAATCTTCTACCAAGTTGGGACATCTATTTAAGGGCAAAGACCAAGCACGGATTAGAGACTTTTTTTCCAAAATCTTAGAGTAAGAGGAGCGAGAGAACGGATAATTGAAGACGAAGACTTGACGAATCTTCATCATAGTTCTTCTTTTACTTTTCTTTTTCTACTTTTACGAATCTT